AGTACTTTAAAGCAGTTTTAATCAGACGAGTACAAAGTATTAACTGCACCAAGATTTCACACTGAGTTCAACAACGTAGCAACAACGTTTTACATGCGGGGCTTTTGTCACGCAACGCTGATATTGTCACATCCTCCCCCCYTTTTTTTAATTTTTTTTWATATATATGTAACAACAAAACATCATAGTTGAGTTCGTGCCTCATGCAACTGTTCGGTACTGATTGTTTTTTTGTTTTTTTGTTCATGTTTGGTAGTCATTTAGATATGCTGGCCTTCTGACTACACGGCCAGATCTTGTCACCTGTGTGTTGTTCTCCTGTCTTCTGTCCTCCTGACCAGCTTCATTATGTTGTGTTACATGTTCATCATTGCCAGGTGTGTTCTTACTGGGGGACTGTTGTCCCTCAGTGTCTTTGCTTCTTCCTGAGGATTCTTTTGTGCTCTTTAGATGTACTCGGTTGCGACGATACACTGTCCCTTCTTCGTTTGCTACAAAGTAAGATCTGTCGTCTAGCTTGGTTTGCACTGTCGCTTTCTGCCATGCCTTATCTCCGAGGGTGAAAGGTTTCATCCTTACTGCTTGTCCTTCTTGTAGAGGTGTGAGGTCCTTCGTTCTTCTGTTATAGTAGAGCGCCTGTMTTTGTTGAATGTTTCTGAGTTTTGAATGTTCCGCTTCTTTCTCGACGACTTTGGGCTGTAATAGTATCTCCGTTGTTGGCAGCGTGGTCCTTGTTCGTCTATTCATTAAGCGCTGTACTGGACTCCTTCCCACTCCTTGTGACGGCGTATTTCGTATGGCAAGTAGTGCAAGATATTGGTCTTCCCGAGTCTTGCCTGTCTTACGGAGCATTCTTTTCGCTGCCTTGACTGCAGCTTCGACCTTACCATTTGAATGACTGTGGTGAGGAGAGCTTGGGGTATGCTCAATRTCCCATTCCTTTGTGAATCTTTGGACTGTATCGGCTACGAGATTTGGACAGTTGTCTGTTACAAGTATGGACGGTATGCCAAACCTTGCAAAGTGTGCCTTGAGCTTCCTTATTATTGTTGAGGCTTTAGTGTTTTCAAGTCTGTCAATTTCCCAGTAATTGCTGTAATAATCTACCGTAATGAGGTAGTCAGTCCCTTTGTAGGTCAGTACATCAACTCCTACCTTCTCCCAGGGTCTGTCTGCTAGTTCATGTGCCATGAGTGGCTGCTTAGCCTGAGACGCATTTTCATATTCCCTGCAAGTCTCGCATGTGGAGATCCATTCCTTGATTTCAGCACTGATGCCGGGCCAATACACACATTCTCTTGCTCTACGTAAACACCCCTCTATTCCAGAATGCGCAGCATGAAGATCTTTCTTGATGGCTCCTCTCATGCTTCTGGGAATAACAAGTCTCTCGCCTTTGAATACGAGGCCATTGTATACACTTAATTCATCTCTGATGTTGAAGTATGGGGTCAGTTGTGGCGGTAGCTTTGCCTTGTGTTCTGGGAAATCTTGTTGGATAGTTGTCCTTAGTAGCTTTAAAGTTTCATCCTTACCCGTTTCCACTTGAATTTCATAGATCTTCTTCTCAGACATCGGTACGAATTTGACTGCGTGCACTGTTTCAAATTCTTTCTGGCTTTCATGTCCGTTGAGTGGTAGGAACGACCGACTCATCATATCCGCAATGTGTTGCTGAGTGCCAGGAGCATATTTAACGTCGACGTTGTAATTCAGACTTCTGATCAGCATTCCTTGTAGTCGTCTAGGTGCCTTGTCAAGAGGCTTTTGCGTGATGCTTACAAGAGGTTTGTGGTCAGTATAGACTTTTACGGGTCGGCCGTAAGTGAATTGATGCCACTTTTCAAGTGCAAAGACTACTGCCAGCATTTCCTTTTCAATTGTAGCGTAACGAGTTTCAGCTTCAGTAAGTGCTCGGCTGGCGTAGACCAGTAGCCTTTGCTCCTGGAGCAGAACTGCTCCAAGTCCCTTGCTGCTAGCGTCGCACTGGATTGAGAGGTCTTTGGTCTGGTCGTAGTAGGCTAGTACTGGTGCCTGTGTGACAAGATCTTTGACGTCCTGGAATGCTCTGTCATGGACCGCATCCCAGTGCCATTCCGTACCTTTGTGCGTTAGTTGTCTTAGTGGTGTCATCACTTCAGAGAGTTTCGGTAGGAATTTCGAAAGATAGTTCACAGTGCCGTTTAGCCTTTCAATTGCTTGTTTGTCAGTGGGTGTGTCCATCTTGATTATTGCTTCAATTTTCTTTGGGTCTGCCTTGAGACCATCGGAGGTAACGAGATGTCCCATGAACTCTATCTCTTTCGTCTTTAAAACAGCCTTGCCCTTGTTGAGTTTTATTCCTTTCTCTTTGCAGCGATTGAGGAGTCGTACGAAGTTTTTATCATGGTGAGACTCTGCTTGTCTTTCATCGGGTGCCTTTCCATATAGAAGAATGTCATCAGCAATGGGTGCTGTGCAGGGTAGACCCTCAAGCGCCTGGATCAAGCGCTTCTGGAAGATTTCGGAGCTTACATTTAGGCCAAATGGGAGTCTGAGCCACTTAAATCTCCCGAATGGTGTTGCAAAGGTGGTRAGTAGGGAAGACTGTTCATCAAGGACGCAGTGCCAATAGCCATGTTTTAGGTCTAGTTTACTGAACAGCTTTGCGTCCGCTAGGTCATGCAGCATGTCTTCAAGTACTGGTAGTTGGTAGTGTTCCYTCT